TACTTTAGAGTTAAGCTTATCCGATATATATAGGGGTCTATATAGGATTTAGATTCATGACCGGAAGAAGGTGGCACACTTATTTTTCTGCCAAATATTCTCAAATTTGTATCTGCATTTTTTGTAGGTTTCTTTTACTATTAGTCGATTCTTAAGGTCACGTGTTTATATTGTGCACCTATAAAATAAACAATTTTGTTATTGACTACCTATAACCTGTCCTGGTTATTCGAGGTAATCTAGCTATCTTTTTGTTCTGTCTTAATCATTCTTCTTAAATTTGTGAAGTCAAAGTTCCACTTAGATTCAAACTCTCATGTGTTCGCTTGATCTTTACCAATTGTTCAACTACTGTACTACCTGAGCCGTTCAATGAGAGAGGTTCCAATTATGATTGGCTTAGGACAAAATCTGTTCGGTTAACTCATCATGGCTTGGACAAAAGCACTCTAGCTTTGCCGTATTGTCTTCTTACTTTTGTCATGTGTCATCATTAAGTGGCCAAACTAGGAATAATTTATATAATAAAATATAAAGAGTTTTAAACAATCAAATTTATAAAATCATTTGAACGTTTTAAATCATTTTCAGATTATAGATTATTGATTTGACGAAGCAAAAATTTTCTCTAAAAATTTTTCAACCCATACACACTCTACGAGACAGTAGGACAGTGTTTTCAAAAATTCTATGACTTTCCCTTTCACAGGTTTTCTGTGTCGCCCAAACAGAATGGAGTCTATTATTATTTATCCAATCTATCTACTCCCTCTCCATTCTCTCAACTTCTGTCTCTCTCACGTCCCTATCTCTCTTTCCCCCAACATCTCTCTTTCCCCCAACATCTCTCTCACTCATTCACTCACGTCCAAAGGTGGTAGAACTTTGTTTTCTGACTCAATAACTTTTCTCTCTCACACGTCTTCGTTGTGTATCCCAAACAAAATGGAGACTATTTTTAAATTTACCCAATTCTCAATTTATTTCTATCTCTCCCTAGCATCTCTCTCTCTCTCACTCACTCACTCACTCACTCATTCAACAACACAGACACTATTCCTCTTTTTTCTCTTTCTCCCTCCACTCTCTTTACCATATCGACCGTCATTCACAGCCCACCAATAGCCACCAACATCCACGATATCCTTCCGCTCTCCCTTGTTTCTCTCGTCACCCCTCTCCTCTTCTCTCTCATCACTCTCCGCATCCTTTCTGTCTCACCTGCTTCATCATAATGAAACTGCCACGATGCCCTTTCACGCACCGCCATCGACACTGCCCAGGTATGTCTCCCTCTCTATAATCCTTTCCTCTCTCTGTGGCTCAACGAGTTCTTTGATAAACCCGACCCTTTGTATCATTGTAATTGCACAAAACTTTTATTATTTTGATTAGGGCAAGCTTGATGGAACTGATCCAGTTTTTGATTTCCCTGTGTGGAATTGGTAATGTCACATTAGTTTGGCTTTCTTTTTTTTTATTTGATTTAATTGAATTTCACGTTGCTTGTTGATTGCGATTTGTATTGTAAAATTAAATTTAGGTTCTGGTGTTTTTTTTTTGATAGGCTCTACATGAAATGCAACATATTTAAATAATGCGTTTCGTGAACTATTCCAGCCGTTTCGACTAAAAAAAAGAACTATTCCGGCATTGAAACATGATATGGTTAGTGATTTTGTTGATTAATTTTCTTTTCCCTATCTATCTTACTTATTTCTTAACAGTGTATTACTATAAATTCATTTAAGGATTTGTGACTATGTGATCTGTGAAGCCTTTCGGTCAAAAAAAAGAACAATTCTGACCGTTGAAACATGATGAGATTAGTTATTTCAATAATTATTTTTCCATTACCTTCTTTGTCTACACTTTAGGATTTGCGTTTGTGGTTCGACAATCTCATTGGTCTTTTTTATGTTTAATTTAATAGCAGTCTGGTATGACAAAAACATCTTATAAATCTATTTTGGCACATGTTGTGATTTTACTGTTCCTCCTAACTTCGGATTACAAATAACTGTTTTGTTCCATTGACAAGGTGTAACATTTCTAATTAGCAGTTTGGTTCATATCTTAAAAAGAAAAATTAACAACTTATGTTAGTACATGCATATGATATTCCTATACATATGTATTGTGGCAAATATTTTTCCTTCACAATTGTGTGTTTCTGCATGTATCTGTACCTATGCTGGAGTCCATATCAGATACTTATAGATAAATTTGTGTTGTTGGATCACTTTGTTCTAGAATTATGTGTTTCTAAAGAATTTTATTGTTCTATTTCCCACAACCCTCCCTCTCTCTGTGTGACTATCTCTAAGCCTCTCTAACTTAACATTAACTATTTTCTATACTAGCAAAGCATTGAGGAATTGAACTAGAGCTTTTATGCACTATCTTTGAACTTGAGCCAGTAAGAGTGGAAGCAAATGAAGAATCGAGAAAGAACAAGGAATATGAACTAATGGTTTCAAAAAAAAATCACTACACGGGTATGGCTACTTCGTTTATGCTTCGTTCAGTCGTGCTATATGGATAAAATTATTATTAATTATACTATTTGATTTGATTATCATGTATTCAATTAGATTATTTTATTTTATCCATGTACTTAACTGACATAAGTCGTAACTTGATTTAACATATAAACGAGATGAATATATACTACACTTAGTATCAATTCTAATGTTTGTTTGTTAATCCAATGTATGAGACATCTAACATGATGGTGAATCTTGGTGTGGCGTGATGGATATTTCTTCTTGCTAATACTCATTTTTTTTTTTTTTTGATTATCAATTTGTTTGGGTTGGTTTTAATGATTTAACTTTTTCACATAGCCATAGTTTTGTTGTACTATACCGATTTTTTTTATCTTTGTTGACCTCTGCAAATGATTCTTATCAACATGGTTTTCTTAAAGTCTATTCCTTGATTTGCGTTATGTATAGACATTGAATTGAAGAGAGCATGAACAACTAAGGGAAGTACTCATATTAAGGTTAACATTATTCTGCTCATGTACATACATCTATCAGAGCACGTATTGATTTTTTGAGTTAGTTTTTCATAATTTTATAATAGCCTTTAGTTTCAATAATGTATTTGTAAAGTTCACTTTTGAATTCAATAAAGTGTTTTTTTAGGTAATATTGATATAAGAAGGTAGTTTATTTTTAATACGTGTGAATAAATGTTTTCTATTAACGGATATTAATTCAGTGAAAGTTTTTATTGTTGAAAAGTAGACACATTGATTTTCGTTTAACTATTTTTATTTGCTTCTCATTGATTCAATCTAAGTGAAAATTTGTGTGTGTGTTACATAGTATTTTTAGGCACGGGTAATGACTAATAATATTATAAACCCCTTCAATCAATATGTAATTTGCCCTCTTTAATTTTCTCATATAAATTCCTTGAAACTAGATGGAAGATAGGAGTGCAAACCTGAATGTTTTTTGTTTTGGTTCTCTCGAAGCTATTGGTCCACAGTATGAGGAAGGACTAGATGGTTTGTTTGCCTGGCCTTGTTGTATGGTTCTAGCCAACACTTGGCAACAAAGATCACGCTCAGCCTTATTGTATTTTTCTAGTCAAGTACATTTTGCAACAAAGATTACTCTTTTTCGGTTTAAATATTGTCGAGATATTTTCTCATGACTCTAAAGTTATTGTCGTACAAATTGACAGGACAAGAAAATAATAGTGTGGACACATTTAAATATATCTAACAATTGATATAAATATATATAGGTAAGGTGTTTTTTAAAAAATCTAGGTGGCCCTGTGCCGCCTAGCATTCTCTTGGCTCCATCACTAGATGAGTGTGTTAATTGAATTGTTTGACATAAATATAGTTTTAAATAATAATTATATTAATTTTAACTGATGTATTTTTATATATGTACAATTTAAATTACTAGTTTTTTTTTGTACTGATTCAAATTACTAGTTTAATATCATACTAATTTTAGGGTTAATTGTACATTACATCCTGAGAAATCGTTTGAATCTCAATATGCACTCTTAAAGATCAAAAATTTTAATTTATACCCTCAAAGATGAAAATTTATATCAATGCGTACCTAAAATTAACAGTCGTGTCTAAAATAAAATAGATAAATTATACTTAGATCTTCTTATGTTTGTTACTTAATCATTTAGACCCCATCACATTTAGGATATTACTCATACACCTCATGATGTTTGTACACATATAACACATAACCCCATTATCGTTGATATCTGTTAATATAACTATTAAAAAATATGATTTCATCGTAATAAAAAATTTTAATGTCATACTACATTTTATTTTAAGGGTCTGGTATACTCTAAAGTTTAAAATTAAGCTTATTATTTGAATGTCCAACATAATGCAGATATTTATATAATGTTCTTTATATCCACTGCAATACATCACTTAAATAAAATTATTTGAATGCCCAATTAGGAGAATATTTTTAGTCACACTTGAATTCTCAAGGAATGTAGATGTAATATTCTAAATGTAAGGGATCTAGGTGATTAAGTGATAAATATGAGATGATTTAGGTGTAATTTATTCACTTAATTTTAGACGACAACTGACGGCTGTTAGTTTGAGGTGTGCATTGATATAAATTTTTATTTTTGAGGGTGTAAGTTAAGTTTTTGATATTTGAGAGTATAAATTTAAATTTAAATAATTTTTTGAAATGCAATTTAAGATTAATCCTTAATTTTATAATGATTCCTCCATTCACAATTTTCAAATGCTAGTCCCTCTCTCAAACACACGTGGCCCGTGCGCTTAAAATTTCTCTAGAGATTTCTTGCATCCCAAGCCTTTTTCTGTAGTTCCATCTTCAACCCCAGTGTCCGAAACCCTAGCTTTTCGAACGATGTCTTGGATTTCGGAGACGGCTAGTGCGCTTAAGAGGCGACTTGTTTTCTGAGACCATACTTCGGAGTCGATACGGTCCGGACAGAGCTCTCTTGATCTTCCGAAAATGGCGTCGAAAGAGAACCCATTGCAGCCATCGGATAGTCGAAATATCAATGACAATGTGAGAAGGCCGAAGCTGAGTTTCGAGCTCTGTGTAAATCCTTCTTTTTGGAAAGATAACAATGTTCAGGTACTGAGTTGGAATAGTTGTGCTATGTGTTTGGTTGTTGAACAAGTGTCGGAAAAGAAAGAAAAATCAAACTGGCTAAAAGACAATAAATGTATTTCACTTTGTGATGTATACTAATACAACAGTATGGGGTAGGTTTAAAATAAATGGGAAAAATGGGTTTCTGGCAACGTAAATTGCGATGCTTTTGGCAGCTTGGAATTGGCACCTTGAAATCAAATTAAGAATGAACCGATTTAAATTTTGTTGCAGTTTTGCTCCAATTCTAATTTTATGATCCCAATTCAATGCCGTCTAATGCATCATTCGTTTTCTTAGTGGAATTGTGTGTTAATGCATTTGGATAATATTCCCCAAGTGTTGTTTTGCCTCAATTAGAATAGAATACCAAGATGTATTATCTAGGTTTAAGTTAACTCTTTAAGTTTATAGGTTCAAAGCTAAGAAGTATGGACACGGATACGGGATACGGATACGACACAACACGACACAGACACGCCGACACGACATTTCTCAAAAAAGTAGGACACGGACACATTGGGGACACGCTACAAAAAAAAATTATATTTTATATATAACATTATATAATTTATTGCAAATATAATGATAATGATATACAATTCATAAAAAAATTAGTATTTTATGATAAGAAAACCTAATGTCTAGTCATCTGTGTGAATTTTTAGACTAAAACATCCTCATTATAGTCAATAATTATCAATTTTTTTTGTAGACAATATGTACCTAATATATAATTTAAATAATTACTCTTATTTTCTCAATTTTTTTTTTAAACTTTTATGCAACTTTTATTTTTATTATGATATTTTGAATACAACTTTAATATATCTAGTATTAGTAATTATATGTTTTCAAATTTTTAAGTTTTGTTAATCACATTTCAACAAATGTCTATTGTTTAGTAGTAGACACGTTCTAAAGAAGTGTTGGACACGTCAACAAAGAAGTGTCCAACACATGTCCAAAATTAAAAATTTATCATTTAATTATGGACATAGATAAAAGAGTATTGGACACGTGTCCGAGAGTGTCCGAAGAGTATCGGTGTCCGACACGGATACGTCACGTTCTCGAGAGTGTCCGTGCTTCATAGGTTCAAAGTATTGGTCGAGTTCAATACGAGTTGAGCAAGTCCTATTTGACTAAAAAATATTTTAGTCATATTTTAGTTAGATAGGACTTGAGCAAGTCCTATTTTAGGCCAACCATTTAAAAAATATTTTAGTAATTTTAGGAAATGACTAAAAGTTTGGTGCCATACTCCAGATAGGAGTAGACACTAAGAAAGGGGTTTATGTAGAGAATCTCACTGAGGTAGAAGTTACAAGTGCTCGAGATGTGATTCAACAACTTGTTCAAGTTTGTCTATAGTTGAATAATTTCATCTCTTCTTGTTGGTTTCAACCTTAAAACACTTTGTATTTGTTATCACATATTCTATTTTGATTCTCTGTAGCAAATACAACTATTTTTGCCGGAATGGTAGTCCTCTATCATCTATCTATTTTGAGGTTTCTTGTTGACATACCTTTAGCCTGTAGTTGTCATAGAAATAGAAATATCCTTGCTATTTTTACTTTGAAATGGCTACGAAAGCTAAGGTTACAATATTGTCAACTGAGAACCAAAAAATAAATAAATAAGGATCCGAATAGTTGGGAAATAAGAGGAGTTGTAATGTTGAGTAATTAGGTTTAACTTCGATTTGTTGCCCTTTGAAAATAAATGAAGGCAGGCTAGAAGTATGCAGAGAAAACATGTTATCATTTTGCACTCCATTTGCCTTTTCTTTGGGAAAGTAATTCCATTTTTTTTTTTTGAAACTTGGAAAAATATAAGTTGAATGCAGCAAGCAGAAACATTGAAAACCAGGCATGTTTAATAAGTGTGCAATTATTTTTCCATTATGGGATCAACTTTTATCGATTCACTTATTCATATGTTGTTTGGAATAATGTAGTAATATACTACACGCATTGGCATGATGGAATGGTTGTTTCAATTTAAAGGACCATTTTTGGTTGGTTATGAAACGACAGAATATGCTAACGTTTTCATTAGCATTGGCCGCCGCCTCACCAAAACATATCTTTTTCCTTTGTTGCTTCTCTCACAATTTATTGTAAGTTGAACTAAATTAATTACATGCCCATTTTCAGTGGGAATTAAACAGAGTCAGTCATCATCTGGATGATCGGCTTAATCTTGTAGACTTAGCAGGCTCTGAAAGGTAACTGAAAGATATGGTGACAAACTCGATATTGAAGATTATTGTTTGAGAGAGAGATTGAAGGCATTAAACCATAAATATAACACATATCTTGTTGTATTTCAATTTGAATCACAGACAGAAGAGTTCTGGTGCTAAAGGGGAACACCTAAAGGAAGCTATGAACATCAACAATTCTCTTTTGACATTGGGGTTGAAAGTGTTTGGAAAAATATCTAAATGGGTTTTGGTACTCAATTACCAAACCGTATTGCTATTCACAGTTATATAATGATACAAAGTCCATAAAGATTATACAAAATCTGAACATAAAATATTAAGATATATAATACAAAATCTAAACTAATGATGTTTATATCATGTGGAGGTAGTGGATGATCAAGTAGCTTAACAGAAGATAGAGCAGCATCAAATGGATATGGATCAGCAGCAGCAGATGGATATGGATTATCTTGAGAAGTCGAAGTTGTAGGAGAATTTGTAGGAGGAAGCTTATCACTCCCCCGCAAGCTGATGGGAGGCAGCAGGACCATCAGTTTGGCACGGAGCTGAGCAAAACGAACTGTAGTGAGACCTTTAGTAAAGACATCGGCAATTTGATCTGCTGTGTTAATATACTTAATAACAATGTCTCCATTAAGCACTTTCTCACGAATAAAATGATAGTTAACTTCAACATGCTTGGTTCGAGCATGAAAGACTAGATTGGATGCCAATGAGGTAGCTCTTACATTATCACACCACAATGTAGGAAGTGAAGAGAGGGGAATTTGGAGATCACGAAATAACATTCGCAACCAAAACAATTCAGCCATGGTGAGGGGAGTGCACGATATTCGGCCTCGGTGCTAGATCGAGAAACAACATTTTGCTTTTTGACAGACCAGGAAATCAGATTGGTTCCCAAAAATACACCGTAACTAGAGGTAGATCGTTGATCATCTGGATTTCCCGCCCAATCAGAGTCACAAAAGGCATGCAAGTTTAGGTCTCCCTTCGCGTACCAGAGACCATAATCAATGGTCCCTTTGAGATAGCGCGCTTTGTAGTAGACCAGTGGACAGTGGAGGGTTGATGCATGTACTGGCATAGTTGATTAACGGAGTATGAGATGTCTGGACGCTTAAGGGTGCAATATTGTAAAACACCCACAATTTTGCGATATTCAGTGGCGTCACTATCAGAGAGAAGATCACTCTCCAAAGAGGAGAGTTTGGAACCAAGTATGCATGGGGAAGAAATTGGTTTGGCATCAACCATCCAAGCTCGATTAAGTAAATCACTTATGTACTTTGCCTGTCGTAAATGAATTCCATTGGAATCACGAGAAGCCTGAATACCAAGGAAAAAGGCGAGCAATAACAGAGGAGATGATTGAACTATGTGTTCCTGTGATCAAAATGTCATTAACATACACTAAAATATAAATATGTGTAGCATCTTGATGAAATGTAAACAGAGAAGGATCAACACATGACGAAATGAAGCCAAGCTCTAAAAGTGAATCACGAAGTCGAGTGAACCAAGCACGTGGGGCTTGTTTAAGTCCAAAAAGACCTTTGTGCAATTGACACATGTGATTTAGATGGTGAGAGTCCACAAAACCTTGAGGTTGTTCCATATAAACCTCCTCTGTCAAAATACCATAGAGAAACGCATTAGAGACATCTAACTGCCGAATACCCCAATCAAAGTGAACAGCCAATGTGAGAGGAACCTGAACAGTAGAAGGTTTTATAACTGGACTAAAAGTTTCAATAAAATCAACACCACTTTGTTGATCAAAACCCTTAGCAACTAAGCGGGTTTTGTATCGATCGATGGTACCTTTAGGTTTTTGCTTAAGACGATACACCCACTTATTGCGGACAATATTGTGATTTGGAGGTCTGGGACACAAAGACCAAGTGCCATTAGCAATTAAGGCATCGAATTCCTTTCCCATTGCAATACGCCACTCGGGTGATAACACAATTGTGGAGTAACAGGTTGGCTCAGAGGGTAAAGACATGGTATCGAAGGCATGAAGGGGATATTTGGTAGAGTAGTAAATTTGAAAATCAGGAAAAGACTTAGGCTTTAGAGACCCAATTTGGGAACGAGTAACAACACCTAATGAAGAAGTTTCAGTGTTGACAACTGAAAAGTTGGGATTGGGGTAATTTTCCAACGGTGGAGATGGTGAAATAACTGGGTCAGTAATGTGTGAGGAGGGGAGATCCAATTGGGTTGATTGAGAAGAAGGTGTGGATAAAATATGAGGCTAAGGAGAAGTAGCCGTTGGTGATGGTAGAGAGACAGTAGGTGCAAAGGTTGTAGGAGAGACACTAGGTGGTATGCCAGAGAGTGATGTTTTGGGAAAACCAGTAGTAGGTGTAAAGGAAATAGTTGAGTCAAAGATATTAGAAGAGTTAGAAAAATGCGGGAGAAAAGACTTACCCACAGCTGCTGGAAATAATTCCTCATCAAACACAACATTTCGGGAAATATAGACTTTACGGGTGTGGGAATCATAACAGCGGTATCCTCTATGTGATGAACTGTAACCAAGAAAAATGCATTGTTTGCTTCGAAACATGAGTTGCTTTGTATTGTATGGGCGTAATAAAGGATAACAAGCACAGCCGAAAGTCCGAAGAAATGAATAATCTGGACTTTTGTTAAATAATTTAGAAAAGGGAGATTCATTGTTCAACATAGGAGATGGTAGTCGATTTATTAAATAAACTGAGGTTAAAAAGGCATCAACCCAAAAACCCATTCGTAGGTTGGACTGAGCAAGAAGCGATAATCCCATTTCCATTATATGTTTGTGCTTCCTTTCAGCCAATCCATTTTGTTGGGAAGTGTACCACTATTGGCCAGAAAAGTTTTAAATTCATTTAGGATAAATTCGCCTCCAATGTCTATTTGGAATTGTTTGATGCGTAGAGAAAATTGATTCTCAACCAAAGGTTTAGATTTTATAAAGCATGAGAAGCCATCAGACTTGGATTGTAAGGGATAAATCCATGTGAAACTAGAGTAGTCATCAATAAATATAACATAATATAAACAATCACCAATCGACTTTGTTGAACAAGTCCAGACATCTGAATGACTAAGTTCAAGAGGGCTGGAAGAAATTCTTGATGACGCTAAAAAGGGTTGTTGCTTAGCCTTGCCTAATTGGCAAGGTTCACATATGCCAACTTTATTCAATGAACTGCTAAATGGTAAACAATGATGCTTAATTAAACAAGGAACAATGGGATGCGAAGGATGTCCGAGTCGGGAGTGCCACACTTGGACTGGACCTTTGATGCCAAAGAAAGCAGTGAAGTTGTTGTGTTTGTGAGAAATTGATTTCTGCAGACGGATGGGTACATGCCTTCTTCACTCTTGCCTTGGAGCAACATTCGCCCCGTCTGCAAGTCATGAATAGAATAATGAGAACCAGTAAGGAGAAAGAAACAATGATTCCCAATGCAAAATTGGTTAATTGAGAGCAGATTAGCACAAGCGTTAGGACAATGTAACCTTGCCTAATTGGCAAGGTTCACATATGCCAACTTTATTCAAAGAACTGCTAAATGGTAAACAATGATGCTTAATTAAACAAGAAACAATGGGATGCGAAGGATGTCCGAGTCGGGAGTGCCACACTTGGACTGGACCTTTGATGCCAAAGAAAGCAGTGAAGTTGTTGTGTTTGTGAGAAATTGATTTCTGCAGACGGATGGGTACATGCCTTCTTCACTCTTGCCTTGGAGCAACATTCGCCCCGTCTGCAAGTCATGAATAGAATAATGAGAACCAGTAAGGAGAAAGAAACAATGATTCCCAATGCAAAATTGGTTAATTGAGAGCAGATTAGCACAAGCGTTAGGACAATGTAACCTTGCCTAATTGGCAAGGTTCACATATGCCAACTTTATTCAATGAACTACTAAATGGTAAACAATGATGCTTAATTAAACAAGAAACAATGGGATGCGAAGGATGTCCGAGTCGGGAGTGCCACACTTGGACTGGACCTTTGATGCCAAAGAAAGCAGTGAAGTTGTTGTGTTTGTGAGAAATTGATTTCTGCAGACGGATGGGTACATGCCTTCTTCACTCTTGCCTTGGAGCAATATTCGCCCCGTCTGCAAGTCATGAATAGAATAATGAGAACCAGTAAGGAGAAAAAAACAATGATTCTCAATGCAAAATTGGTTAATTGAGAGCAGATTAGCACAAGCGTTAGGACAATGTAACATATGACATTAAAAAAGGTGATGAATTAGAGTTTATGAGGACAGAACCAGTGTGGGCGATTTCCAAGCCAGAGCCGTTACCAACAGCAATTTGTTCCTTTCCCGTGTACGAGCGTGGAAGGGAGAGTTGCTCAAGATGCGCAGTAATGTGCTAATTTGCCCCACTATCAGCATACCAAGTATCACCACTGGAAGCAACCTGAACCTTGGCCATTAGAGCAGCATTTGTCTGATTGACCATTGCTGCTAATTGGTGAGGAGGATGCCTGCCTTGATAAGAATAATTGAAACGATGAAAACAGTCTAGTGCTCTATGACCGTGTTTGCCACAAATTTGACAAGCTTCACGATTATTTGAGTCTCCCATGACTGAATTGTTTGGTCCAGTAGGTGATGGTGTTAAGGAATCAGCAGAATTTTGATTAGCAGCATTTTTGGAGACAAAATTTTTGGTCTGGGTATTTCACTGGTAGTGTTGCGAAGTTTGGCGAGCAGCCAAAGCAAAGGAGTTTTTGGGAGGCACTACCCGCTGGTGAGACTCAAGAAGAATCTCAAATGAAAGGAGTTCAGCCTGAAAATCCATAAATGACATACTGTGGTCTCTGAGTAACAATGTTGATTGAATTTTGAAATGGAATGAATGCTGAATTCAATCCACTCAAGAGAGTAAAGACAAGATCATCTTCATCAACAGCCTTTCCAGCAGAGGCGAGTTGATCTACTAAGCCTTTGGCAAAGGCTAGATACTCTGAACAGGATCTATTCTCTTGACGCAAACTACGGAGTTGGCGTTGAAGGAGATTAATGCGAGAGCGAGATTGAGAAGCAAAATNTTATAAAGCATGAGAAGCCATCAGACTTGGATTGTAAGGGATAAATCCATGTGAAACTAGAGTAGTCATCAATAAATATAACATAATATAAACAATCACCAATCGACTTTGTTGAACAAGTCCAGACATCTGAATGACTAAGTTCAAGAGGGCTGGAAGAAATTCTTGATGACGCTAAAAAGGGTTGTTGCTTGCTTAGCCTTGCCTAATTGGCAAGGTTCACATATGCCAACTTTATTCAATGAACTACTAAATGGTAAACAATGATGCTTAATTAAACAAGAAACAATGGGATGCGAAGGATGTCCGAGTCGGGAGTGCCACACTTGGACTGGACCTTTGATGCCAAAGAAAGCAGTGAAGTTGTTGTGTTTGTGAGAAATTGATTTCTGCAGATGGATGGGTACATGCCTTCTTCACTCTTGCCTTGGAGCAATATTCGCCCCGTCTGCAAGTCATGAATAGAATAATGAGAACCAGTAAGGAGAAAAAAACAATGATTCTCAATGCAAAATTGGTTAATTGAGAGCAGATTAGCACAAGCGTTAGGACAATGTAACATATGACATTAAAAAAGGTGATGAATTAGAGTTTATGAGGACAGAACCAGTGTAGGCGATTTCCAAGCCAGAGCCGTTACCAACAGCAATTTGTTCTGTTCCCGTGTACAAGCGTGGAAGGGAGAGTTGCTCAAGATGCGTAGTAATGTGCTAATTTGCCCACTATCAGCATACCAAGTATCACCACTGGAAGCAACCTGAACCTTGGCCATTAGAGCAGCATTTGTTNTCTTTCTTATACCATAGCAAGTAGGTGGGATTAGCATCACCAATGGATTTGCCAGCCTCTGGAGGAAGAAGCTGATCTGGGCACGGCTCAGAACCATCCACGAAGCCCATAAGATCATTCGACTTCAATACTGTATAAATTGGGACAACCATTGCAGGTAATTGTCACCATTTAGCTTGATTGAAATGAGTTGGCCTATATTTGGAGCAAGAAAGACAGGTGCAGAAGTGGTCTCAGAGAGTGAAGCCATTTGAGGAGGATCNCCAGCAGAATTTTGATTAGCAGCATTTTTGGAGACAAAATTTTTGGTCTTGGTATTTCACTGGTAGTGTTGCGAAGTTTGGCGAGCAGCCAAAGCAAAGGAGTTTTCAGGAAGCACTACCCGCTGGTGAGACTCAAGAAGAATCTCAAATGAAAGGAGTTCAGCCTAAAAATCCATAAATGACATACTGTGGTCTCGAGTAGCAATGTTGATTGAATTTTGAAATGGAATGAATGCTGAATTCAATCCACTCAAGAGAGTAAAGTCAAGGTCATCTTCATCAACAGCCTTTCCAGTAGAGGCGAGTTGATCTACCAAGCCTTTGGCAAAAGCTAGATACTCTGAACAGGATCTATTCTCTTGACGCAAACTATAGAGTTGGCTTTGAAGGAGATTAATACAGGAGCGAGATTGAGAAGCAAAACGAGTTGAGAGTAAATCCCGGGCCCTTTTTGCAGTCGACAGGCCATACACAGTAAAGAGAACTTTAGGGGATAAAGTAGCATTGATCCAAGAAAGAACAAATTGATCTTTCTTATACCATAGCAAGTAGGCGGGATTAGCATCACCAATAGATTTGCCAGCCGCTGGAGGAAGAAGCTGATCTGGGCACGGATTAGAACCATCCACGAAGCCCATAAGATCATTCGACTTCAATACTGGTATAAATTGGGACAACCATTG